AGTTGCAACAATTATAACAATAGTTATTTCTATTTTTTTGGCTCTCATGTTTTTTTCATTAATTGTGAGTGTATTTACAACAACATCAAATTTACGAGCGATGTATAGAGATGATCCTGACGGAGGAATTGAATGGCGTCAATCAGCAACAACTGTAGAAACAACTTTAAAGTTTTATAAAATTGTAAAATAAAATTTATTGAAATATATATAATAGGAAAAAGAAATGAAGAATAAGATGTACAGCAATATGTTGAGGATCAGAACAGGTTATACATAAATATTGACAGGAAGTTTATAAAAGAAATGAGTCAACATCAATAATGAAGGATTTTATAGGAATAATAAGTTATAAAAAGAAAAGAAAATAATAAAAAAAGAATGCAAATAATACAATGTTTATCTAACAATAAATTATTGAAGTTTATGATTTGTTTCTGAGAATATAAAAAAAGTCTAGAATTATAATTTGATTTTAGATTTATTGTTGAATCAATTTCATATATATGTACTTTGCGGTTTAATATCTGCTATTAATAATAAATTATATGACTTCTTATTCATATGAAAAGTCAACTTATCTTATTCTCGAATCCTTAGTTTTTTTCTTTCTTAATATGTTACACTCTTAGTCCAAAAGATCGTTGTTCTTAATATTTTATTTCATTGGATTCATAGTAAATGTTAAGGCTTCAAGTTATCCTTATTCATCATGTCATAATATTTGTTTGTAAGTCTTTGTAGATAAAAATAACTTGATATTTATCTCTATTTTTTTTTATTTATATGATTCTATAACTGATTAATATTCATTTCAATGCACACGAAGATCTTTATTAATCGAGTAATAACACTTAGTCGTTTGTGCATTCAGATTTCGTATGAATTTTATTGCTTTATACATAAATTATAAATATTTTATTACGTAAAAAATTCAAATCACCTAAATTAGAAATAACTTTTACCAGTAATCATTAGGCAATGTATGTGAAATATGTTAAGCGAACTTTGTACTAAGGGTGTACAGCATGTGATCTTTTGTATGAAATATAGCGTCTATTGTTTCTATCACTGTCTGAGTTACCTGAATGATTGTGTTGTTTAACAATAGATATGATATCAACCTATAAATAAGACAACGCCGAATAGAGTTGTATAGTACCAAGTGAAAAAAGAAATTTATCGATGATATGAAATTTTGAATCAAAAGATGAAATACGCAATGATGAAATTAATCACCAGTAATGACTCGTGTACTTAAATGGAAGTATTATTATATATAAATAAAGTTATGTTAAAGAGGTGTAGGTAAATAAATAGCAACGCTTGAATGAATACGAAGGTAAAGCAATAATAAACCATTTAAAAACATTGATCTATTCATTTTCGTCTTCTTTCATTCTTTGTAATCGATATAATAGCTATTTGGTATATATAATCAATCTCTCGACGGACTATCCATTTATTACTTATATCTACATTAACAAATTGTCTATATCTCTATTTAGTTCTCTTTGTCATTGTCAATTTCAATTTTTGCTTTCTCTAAATCATTATATCACAAGTATATATTTACGCACAATAAATCTATTTGATAGGCAAACGGTTAGTAAAAATTAATATTGATTTTAACTTTTAAGTCTTTTTTTAATTTCGAATAATGTACTCGTCTTCAAAAAAAAAGTGTGTTACGGACTTTTCTTTTGCTTTATAAGTTAGTTACGCTTGAAATAAAGTAAACTGTAGCTATTTATATTTTCTTCACTCGTTTCGAAATTTTATCATGAAACAATAGATGAAGTAGAACATTATATTTTTTAGAACAAAATGTCGTTTATTGTTTTTATAATCCAGGACGAAATAATTCTACCAATGTAAAATAAAAGAACGAAAAAAAATTAATTGGTAGACATATTACAATGTCACATTGATTTCGCCTAAACACATCTGTAGATATACCTTTGTAAACAATTTAGTCACTCGTAAATAATATGTCTTTTCTTTCGTTTGCTTTTTCATCTTGCTTTTTTTTTTCTGTCTCTCTCTCTCGCTTTTTCGGTTATATATCTAAAAGTATATTATACATAAAGATTCATTTGCCTGATAAATAAATACATATGTGCGCGACGTCTACCTTGAGAATATGACACAAATGTGGTTCTTCATCGTAGTTGACGCATTGCATATTTTAATTTTTTTTCGTCTTTTTTTTACCTTCCTTTAATATTATAGAGACTATAATGTAAAACCTTGTGATTTATCATCGTTAATGATCCATCAATACGTAAGCATATATGCAGAAGAATAGGAAACAAATCACGACAATAGTTCATATGCCTTTGCGCATCAACCATTAGGCGGTCTTTTTTTTTCGGTTTTATTAGGCGAGAATATTGTTTTGATCCTTGCGATGATATCTGTATTTTATAACTCAGTTGACAATAGTCATCAATTATAATACTGACATTTGATTAAAATTCAAAAAACGAAAAAGAACGGATTAATCTGATGAAATAAGATTATGTTATTTAAAAGAGAAAATATATTCGTATTTTTTATAGTCTGTATATTTGAGTTCGAATTATGTGCGTAGTATATTTCTACTGATATCATTTTATCATATCAGTTTTTTTACCAATTTGAATTGAAGTATATCGTCGATACGCTTTTTTTTTTTGTTCGATTTATATACAGTCGAGGCAGTTTACAAGCACTATATAAATTGTATGTACATATTGACATTTAGATATACTATTATTGATAAAATATAAATGGCTCAATCAACGCGTACACGACTTCTACGTGTTTCGAGACCCGAACAAGAAATTCATGTAATAACAAATCCATCTGATGTAACTAATGCATCTCTACAAGTTCCAGCTGGTAAATCTCGTACTTCGAAATCTCGTACTTCAAAATCTCCATCTCCATCATCGTCTCGAGGTTCTCGTAAACGTTTGACAGAACCTGATTATCATGCACCACAAACAGCTACAGCTCTTCGTCAGAAATCTCGTTGGTTAATTGTACGTCGTAATTTACATCGTATTCGTTTTATGGGTTATAATGAACGTGGACGTGATAAATCCGTACCAGATTTTTATATTGGTTTACAAATGAAACGTGAATTAAAACGTGCACAAGAAGAAATAAAAAATATTGATAAAGAAGAAAATTTTTATGCTGTTAAACATTTTAAATTAGCCGTTGATGAGACTCGTATTAAAGATTATGATACAAGTCATGTTAAACCAGGAGATGCACTTATTTATGATCGTCTTGGTGAAGAACCATTAGCATTACAAAATTTACTTTATTATTTTAGTAAACAAGATGTACCACATGGAACAGTTTTTTGGGATTTTTTAAATGAAGTTAATAGTGTATTAAATATGCAAAGAAAACGTACTGTTCTTATTCAAAGATTAAGAAAACTAGCATTAACATTATCATTGATTTTGTATACTATTATTGGTTTAATGCTTTTCCTATTAATTGTTAGTGTAATTACAACAGCAACAAAAATGAACGATCCGGAAGTGCAATGGTTAGAACCCAATGTTGATAAATCCACATCTAAACTCTTATCAATATAATAAAACTCATTGTCTTATATAATTTAATTTATAAGCAATTTCGTAATTGATTTTAGTAGTTGTGTCAATATTTTTGTAATAAATAAATTTTTGTTTAAATTACTATTTTATGAAGTTTTATTTTATTTTTCTTTTCGATTGAATTCATAAATGTAGTAGTTGATTTATTAATAGATTATAATATTTTCTAATGTTTTACTTTTTAAACTGAAAAATCGATGAGAGAATTATTATATATTACATATCATTTTTCTCAGTACCATGTTTGACTGTATGTTAATATGCCTAAAACAGTACATGATGTGTATAACAACATGTCTGCGTAATAATTTTCTTTTTAAGTTATTTTATTTTTTTCATAGAAATTAGTATGCTTACATTCGAAATATCTACCATAACACATTTCTAATTAATGGACAACTATTAATCATAAAAAGCAATTTTATGAAAATATTTACCATTGAAGCGTTTTAGAGTAGTGTGATAGTGTCTATCCTTCCTTTCATATGCTCTTTAGTATGAATGCCTACACTTTTTTAAACAAACTGCGTTAGTAATCATATTATATCAACAGTAATGAATTTTGTGTTTTTTTTATGAATATAAAACATTTTATAACCTACAATGTTTTTATTGTCGTTCTTGTTGAACTTTGAATATTTAGAATATGACAGTTATTTTAATAATTAAGAAATTAAACGGTCAGTTTTTTATTCAAAATGAACAGTAAAAGCGAGTAGTAGTTTTATTATGAATTATCAGTAAAAAATTTAAACTGGGTGTGGGTGGATAAGAGATGGACACTCACATCCACACCCACACCCTGATCATGATTACTACCATTCAATATTATTTACTGCTCAGAAAGGATTTATTTTCTGATCAAAACTACTGACTACGTTATAAGAAAAACAACTGATCATTTAATTCGTACCCTTGAGTAAATACGTATGTGTACAAAAGCTTAGCTGATGCTTTCGAAAACTTCAAATCTCATTGTTGTTCAATTAATTTGATAACAAGTAAAGTTGAGAATATTGAACTGAAACTTCTAATATAAACGAAATCAAATCTATTAAGCAGAAAACGATAATATTTCATTTTGACGATGATAATTCCAATAGATGTCGTTAGCAACCATTCTTCTAATCGTATTATTTCTGATTAGCTTGTAGATGATTGATGAAAAACTAAAAATTTATTGGAGTTATATATCTATGACTAATGTATTCTTTTCCATTTATACTCGTTCTCCTTTTCTTCCTCAATTTAAGAAATTTCAACATGTTCATGTGACAATCATCCATCCTGATGCAATACAATGAAATTCCCAAAGCTTTTTTTTCATATATCTCTATTTGCATTATTTCTTCATTTAGATATCAAAGTTTAAAAAAATAAACCATGTCAAAACGAGGTACACAACGAACTCGAGGAAATACAAAAGTAGGTTGACATTCTTTACATGAATTTTCAAATAATCTTTCAACTTTTTCTAGCCTGCAAGTAGTGCGAAAGCTTCTGCAACACTTATCACACATGGAATTAATTCCTTTACATTATTTTCCGGTAAAAACTTTTTCCGACAAAAAAAATCAAAGAAATATTTTAATCGAATAGGTGATATACCTATTTCCAATGGTATCGATGATATTGGAATTGATAATGATATTGACTCTGAATTACGTGTCATATTACGTAAACTAACGAAAAAAGATTCAACAACCAAAATTCGAGTAAATATTAAACGAAAACTAAAGATACAATATGAATTATCTTCACAGGCATTTAATGAATTACGAGATTATTGTGATGAAAATGAATCAGCTGATGATAAAATTCGTGTATTTCTACCATTTTTTATTTCTCATTATCGTAAATGGTCAACCGTAAGTTCATAATTGATAAAACGAGTAATTCATTTATTTCTTTCATCTAAGGATTGTGATCAACGTGTTCGCGATGAATGTCAATTAACATTTGATACAATTGGCATGCGTATGAAAAAAAATTTATCACCACATTTAAAAGTTCTTTTACCTATTTGGTTAATGGCACAATGTGATTCCTATGCACCTGCTGCATCAAAAGCAAAATTTCTTTATACAAAATTATTTAGTGGAGAAAATAAACAAGCTGAAGCTGTTTATTTCGCACGAAATGAAATCATGTCAACATTAACTGACGAAATCAATCAATGTTCGGATGTTCTTAAAGACAAGTAAAAAAAACAAACTCAATTAAAAATGAAAAAAATCTATTCTATTTTTAGAAAAGAGAATGAAATGGAAACCGATGATGCACATGAAAGACGTTTAGCACAAGTTCTTCTCGCTCTTGCGCTATTTCTTAATTATTTCGAAGCAAATAAACGTTCAGAATTAACAAGTCACTTCAAAACTATATTTGATTCAGGAAAATTTTGGAAATTAGATAAAATTAAATCAGTACAAGTAAGAAAATTTTATTCTCTAAAAAAACAAAATTTCCTTTTCCTCCTTTCTCATAGATTCAAAGTTCATTTTATCGTTGTCTTTATGAATTAATCAATCTTATACCTGATGTTATACGTGAATATAAAACAAAAATAATTCCACTTGTTTTCTATGCAATTAATGAAACCGAACCAAAATTATGTCCATTAATATGGGATTGTTTAATACTTTGTTTAGATACATTTGATGATTGTTGGTCATTAATTAATTATCAAAAAGCATTTTTACCAAAATTATATGCGTTTTTAAAAAATGCCTGTCATGGGAATGTTTTTGGTGTTAAAGATTGTTTATTACCATTGATTATGAAAATACCACAAACAGTTATTGAAGATAAAATAAATTATCGATTTATTGAAAACTTTTTTCAATCAATGGAAGAAGGGTAAAACGAAGAATATTTTTTTCCAATAAATTCAAAGTTTGTTTTTAGAATTTTGTCAATTAAAGGAAGACAACAGATGAATAATGTGAGTTCATTATTAAAAGCTTATATGGATTGTTTACTTTATGTATTAAAACATCATACAACAAATCAACTTGATTTTCTTAATGAACGAGTAAATACAAAAGAAAAATATATGTATTTTTTAATCGAAATTTTTGTTTCTAGTTACTTCCAATGATACGTCGCTCACTTGATGATAAAGATTGTTCAGTTCGAAATGTTTATGCTCGTCAATATGTTTATTTATTAAGCTCTATTCAATCATTTCGATTATATAGTGATCATTTAAATAGTGTTCTTGAATTATTTCGTGATTTAGTAAATCAATCATCGACATCTAGTGAATCAAATGATTTATTAAAATATATATTTGAACAATCTAGTATACTTTTTGAAACTATATTATGTCCACCAAAATTAAAAAATCTACGTTTTGCTGTTAAAACATCGTCATCAAATGATCTTTCATCAATGGATTCAGCAACATTTCAAACAGACGATAATGATGATGATGTAGAAAATAATAATCAAAAAGATACATATCTTATTGAATTTGCTATGAATTTATGTCAATATTGTTTTCAATTTTGTATTGAACATCCAAAAGATTTAACATTCGAATATAGTTTAGATTTATTCACACGTCTTTTAAATCCGTCGACATCAAATAATATTGAAATTATAACAAAATTAATTAATAACAATGATAATACGAATACAATAGCTGAAATATTTTATTTAAATTATGCAAGACCATTAATACAAATTGCTATTGAACGACATTGCTCACTTGATTCTATTGTTGAATTAACTATTCAAATATTAAATACATTTGATTCTTCCGAAGTTGTTGTCGAACGTGTTCTTGCTGATCTTATTAAAGTAAGAAAGTAACATAGTTCATCGATTGAATATAATATTTTCATTCGCAATTTAAATTTTGGTAGTAGAAGAAAGATACAGTAGTAATTCATCAAGCGCCTGGGAAAATCTACCGATATGTTTAATGAGTTCTCCTAATAATAAATTGTCCCCGTTAATGTTCAAATTCATACAATATAAACTACGAAATCATATTATTTTTTAATACTTAAATAAAAAATCCATTAGTATTGAGTTTTTTCTATTAGACAATGATATGAACATAAACTCAGTAGATAATATTCAGAAAATATCTAATCAATTTACACAGTTAATGTGTGATTCATATTCGAATATTATTCACAGTTCTATTTTTTTTATAAATCTTGTATAATTATCCCGAGAATCATGTCTTTTAATTTGATAATACTTTTAAAAGAAAGTAATAGACTTTTATGTACGTTTGTTAATATTCTACAAAATTTATCTTGAAATATATTATTTTTAGCTTGAATCATCTCGTCGATTTTATTTCTTACTGGCTTCCATTGTCTGTCGTTATGAATCTTCACCATCATTTCATACATGGTACATTATATCTTTAAATATTAATTTTTTTATTTTTAATTTTTTCCGTAAGGCTTCAAACTCATGGTGTTCTCGAACAATTATTAAACATGACAGCAAGTGTAACAAAATCCAGTGAAAATAATGATTTAAATTTTCCTGTATCAACCGAAGAATTTCAATTATTATCATCTTTACTTTGTACTTCAAAACCCACACAATTTCTAACTTCAATTCAACAGGAACAAATTGTTTACCTTGCCTGTCGTTTACTTGAACAACAATCCCCATCATTAAATGAAGCTGATTTACATAACGATTTAATTCAAAGTATTGATCATGTCGCTAAACATTTATTTCAAAATATCGACAAAACATATGAAAATCAATCAACAAAAAATCTTTTTCAACTTTATATACATAATGATATAAATAATTTAATACGAAAAAATCATACATTAAGTCTTCATCAACGTTCAATATGGTTAATAGCTTTAAAACAATCAAAAAGAATTCAAAATGAAATTTTCCAACAATTTATACAATTAATACTTTCATATATTCCAACACAATCTGATAATGATCTATTCATCGATATGATTATTTCCATATGTCAAGATGATAATAAATTATCCGAAAAATTCTATTCAAAATTATCTGAACGTATATCATTATGCAATAATTTAATATATGAATCATGGATCTATGGTATTCTTCATGGTTGGTTATTACCGGATCAAACAATTCAAACAAAATTTTCAAATAAAAAATTTTCGGAATATGAACGTTTTCTTGATGTTCAATTTATATGTTTATTAATAATTCGTCAATATGAATTAAATTCTTATCTTAGTTCAAATAATGACTTAATAAAAAATTTAATATTAAATTATTATTTATTTCAATATCGTTGTATTGATGTTAAATCATTATATCAATTATTTGAACGTTTATTTAATTTATCAACATATCGTATGGAATTAAATTTAATTGAAAAATCATTTCAATCAAAAGAATTTTATTTTGAATTAATTTATTATCATTTCTATTGTCAAATAAAAGATAAATATTTAAATATAAATCAACGTGATGATTTAATTCATTATACATTTATATTAAATAATAATGATGAATTAAATTCACATTTAATTCTCGCATCATTTTTTCGTGAATCACAATTGAAATTAATAATTCCATATTTAATTGAACAATGTCAAGATGAACGACGATCAGAATTAACATTAGCGGCTTTAAATCAATCATTGATACGAATGAATAAATTAGGTATTATTCTAGAGGAAAATTATTTAAATAATATCTTGGAGATATTAATGAAATTCAAAGTATCATCAAAAGAAAATTTACAAATTATACAATTATGGAATACATTATTAAATCATGGAACATTTGTATATTCATTAAAACAAATACATTGGGATCATATATTATGTTTATTATGCGATTTATTTCAAAATTTAACTAATACTCAACAACAAATACAACAAGAATTTTCGATACGAACAGAATTTTTATTTATTTATGCATCAAATTTATTAACAACTATTGGGACAATTTTAACTAACCATAATAAACAAGAAGAAAATGATTCAATTAGTAAACAATTATTAGATGAATGGGTATTACTTCATAGTAAAGAAATTTATACTGGTTTATTACCACTTTATATTGCATTACCTAGTAAGTTAAAATATTATAATTTTTCATAAGAAAATTTCGCATTACCTTCAAAATTTCGAAAATGTAAAATCTCGAAATTGGAAAAAGCTAGAAAATAATCACAAACCATCTTGAGAATGTGGGTGTGATTACCATAGATATGAAACACCAACATCCACACCAGACCCGCACCCATACCCTCCCACGGGTCCGCTGCACCTTGCTGACAATCAATTTACCGACGCCACTTTGCCGACAAAAGTTTGAGGGTGAGAGAGTGGGAATATCTAAAACAGAGAACACCCACACCCACACTGACCTCCTCACCCACACTGACCTCCTCACCCACACTGACATCCATACCCGCACCTAAACCTACATTCACCTACACTCACACCCTCAAATTTGTGTCGACAAAATAAAAACTGTCGGCAAAGAGTACATTTCGGCAAAACAATCTTTCGGCAAAGTTATTTTCGGTAAAGTGATTGCGTTCCCTACCCACACTCTCAAGATGGCTTTTCGAAATTTTCTCTTTCGATTATCCAGCTTTTCGAGATTTCCTCTTTCGAAAATACGATCTTTCGATATTTCCTTTTTTCTTGTTTTCGATATTTTAATATTGTTCCGAAAATTTCTTATTTAAAACGATTTTTATTTATTCATAGGTGCTCTTGCTGAATTTTCATCATTTCATGTGACAAATGAAATGGTTAAATCTATATGTTGTGCAATCTGTACTATTCCAAGTGATTATCTTATTTCAAATAATCTCAAACCACTTTTCCATTCCGCAGATAATCATTTAACATTATCTGAATCGATTCAAACAGTAGTTAATCATCTATATCGTTTACTTTGTTTAACACCAAATCGTTCATTACAATATTCAGCATATCATTTATTAAATAAACTTCTTCCACATATATCATCAACATTAATTACAACAACAACAACAAATAACGATACGATTGCCGAAGATAATAAAACATGTCATTTACTTGGTTCAATGATTGAAGCATTAGAACGAACAGAAAATACAATTGTACAATTATTAACTGAAAATGATATTGTTGAAGAACATCTATTAGATGATAATGGCCACGAAATTATTTCGAATTTTTCCCCAACAACAGTTAAAACTGATAAAGAACATATTATTATTGGTGAATTATTAAATTATAAATTATTACTTAATTTAATTAATTGTTTTTCATCTGTTGAACAACGTTATACATATACATTAATGTTACAAGATAAAAAATTAATTGATCGCTTTCTATCAATTGTACTTGGTTTAATTCCTGCTAATCCGGTTTACAATGATCCTTTATCAATGCAAGTTTCATCGATTACAAAAAAATTAACTCATTCTAAATCAATGTTTGAAAATGATATTCAACTCAATCCAAGTGGTAAGTTAAATCTTTCAGTCCTTTCATAGATAAACATATATATATATATTTTAGGTGATTGGAATTCCCAATATACAATTCCACATTTAGCTTGTTCAGTTTATTTTCAATGTTTAAGTTTAATACCGGCACTTGTACGTGAATGGTATCATAATCAACCTAAACGAATACGTGATGCTGTTGATCGTGTTACACAAAAATATGCTAGTCCAATATTAATTCAACAAGAACTCGATTCTGCTTCATCATTAAAAGAAGGTAGTATTGGTGAAGCTGGTCTATTTACGGTTAAAAAACATTCAAATACTCGAGAAATTACAGCTATATATAATATTGAATCATCATGTGTTGAAATATGTATACGTTTACCACCTAATTATCCATTAAGTATTGCAAATATTGAATGTACACATCATGTTGGATTTACCAAAGAACAATGGAATAAATGGATGTTACAATTAAAAACAAATTTAACACAAAACGTAAACCAAGAAATTATCAATATTTTTTTTCTTTTAATTTTGTTTTTTGATATTTTAGAATGGTGCTATAGCTGATGGTTTATTACATTGGAAACAAAATATTGATAAGATGATGCAAGGTATTGAAGAATGTTCTATTTGCTATTGTATTTTACATACAAATAATGAATTACCTAAACGGACTTGTCGAACATGTAAAAAGAAATTTCATGACGCTTGTTTAGTAAGTTTGAACAAAAAAAAGAAAATTTTTATTGAAAATACTATGGTTCTTTGTTTTTTTTCCAAATAGTTTCGTTGGTTTCGATCATCAAATAAATCTACATGTCCACATTGTCGTGCGAACTTTTAATTTTTTTTTCAGTTTTTCGTTGTATTTCATTGTTTTTAACTTCTATCATTTGTTTTTTGATATAAATGTATTATTTGGGATTTATTTTCACGTAAAAACAACAAACCAAATATTCTTTAGTTATAGATTATTCATGCCAACAGATAAAGCTAAAGAATCAGCAGCTATTGCTGCCGTTGATGAACATATTAATGCTGTAGGTAGAAGAATGAAAGGATAATTTTGAAAAAATAAAATCTAGTTTTTAGAATGTTCATATTATTGGTATTGGATCAGGTTCAACAATTGTTCCAGCAGTAAAAAAGATTGGTATGGTATTAAAATAAATTCGTTTTGTTTGTTAAATTTATTCCTTTCAAATTTCTAGCGGAAATGGTTAAAAAAGACAAACTTGATTTAATTTGTGTTCCAACTTCATTACAAGTTTGTTTACAATTTAATATATTGATGATTTGTTAAAACTATTTCATAGTTCAGAAAAGAGTAGCGAATATATCAAGTAGAGATTATAAAACTAAATCATCCAGTAAAGGAACAATGTCGAATGTAGTTTTTGAGTGTAAATCATCATCATGGCCCTTAGGCTTAGCGCCGGTTGGGGCCAACCTTTTACGGGATCAGACTTTTCCATGCGCGTTGATCTTGCGCAAGGTGGAACAGATCGTGTCCACTGCGCTGACACCATTCTGTTATGTCATCCAGCCATTCTTTGAATGGACGCCCCTTCGGGATTTTCCGCCCATTTTACCAAATACTAGATGATTTATTAATCTATTGTCGTCCATTCTACAGATGTGACCAAATAACCGTTGTTTTCTCTTTTGATATCTTTCTTCTGATATCTTCGTTTCGTGCCATATCTTGCCAATAGTTTTTTCCTGTCTGCTTCTTTTAAGGTCCATATCTCTGACGCGTATAATAGGACACTGAACACACATGTGGTTACGACTCTAAGTTTGTTTTCTAATTTAATTGTAAATATGATTTAGAAAACTGGATAAGTTATTCATATTACTACGATATAATAAACTTAGTATGCGTTCTTGACGTAACTCAGCAAATGCATTGAGAACTTCTTTGTTAGGGAAAACGAATTTATTTTTGCAGGTTTTGTTTTCATTCGGTTATGGTAGTAATATGAATATGTGAAATTTTTGTTTTTTCTAGGCTCGTGAACTTATTCTTTCTAATGGCTTAAAATTGGGTAGTCTTATTGAATATCAAGAAGTAGATAAACTATTTTGTTTTGTATTTAAACTTTTATTTTATTCTTCAGCTTGATCTTGCTATTGATGGTGCGGATGAAGTCGATGAACAATTTAATTGTATTAAAGGTGGGGGTGGATGTCAAACTCAAGAAAAACTTGTAGCCATATGTGCAAAAAAATTTATTGTTGTAGCTGATGAAAAGTAAAACAACCAGAAACTAATTATTTGAATTGAGAGGGAAACGTTTCTTTCTGTGCAAATAGGAAATGGTCGAAAAATTTAGGTGATCAATGGAAGAAAGGAATTCCAATTGAAGTTCTACCAATCGCATATAAAATAACAAAAAAAGAAATTGAAAAACAACTTGGTGGTGAAGTTGTTGTTCGTGAAGGAACAGAGAAATTAGTAAGATTGATATAATTATAATTCAATCGAAAAAAAATAGATATTTTAGGGTCCAGTATTAACTGATCAAGCAAATTTTATTCTTGATTGGAAATTTGATTCTTCAAAAGTTTCAAATTGGTCAGATATTAATACTAAATTAAAACTGATACCTGGTAAAAATCTTTCTTTTTTCAATCATATTTCTATTCTTATTATTATAATTAATAGGTGTCGTCGAAACCGGTTTATTCATAAATATGATTTCTAAAGCATATTTTGGTAACAGTGAAGGCAAAGTTCAAGTCAAAACAAACTCGTCAATATCTTCATAATTTTTGTGTTTTTGCCCTGTTTTTTTTGATGAAATTCTATAGTAGTTTTTAGTTTCAGATATAATTTTATTTGTAATGACCGAATGTCAACTTCAAAATCCACCTACAGATGGAATAACATCTGTTCATTTTTCTCCTAATAATCAAAGCCAATTTTTAATTGCCTCGTCATGGGATGGTTCCGTTCGGTAAATTTTTCAGTTTAATAAAGGAACTAAGAATTAAAAGTTCATCACTTGTTTATTATTTAGCTTATATGATGTTAATCAACATACATTTCGTCATACGTATAAACACACCGGTCCTGTATTAGATTGTTGTTTTCCTGTAAGTTTTTCTTTTTTGAAAAAGACAATTCTTCTATGAAAGAAATGATAATTCTTTTAGGATCCATCACGATCGTTTAGTGGTGGTTTAGATCGTATGTTAAAAATGTATGATTTTAATACACAGCAAGGTAAACATTCTATTATTTGATAAAATAAAATCGATTTAAAATTTTTAAGAAACTTTAATGGGTTATCATGATAATGCAATACGATGTGTACATTATTCGCCTGAAATGAATATTGTTATAACCGGTTCCTGGGATTCATCAGTTAAATTTTGGGATTCACGTGCACCTAATTGTCTTGGTACTTGTTCACTACCTGATAAAGTATATTTAATGAATTTAAATTGAATTTTTTATTGAAATTATATTTTATAGGTTTATACATTAGATAGTGTAGGTGAATTGCTTGTTATTGGAACAGCACAACGTAAAGTATCAATTTGGGATTTACGTAAAATTAATAGCCCAACACCCATTGAAAATCGTGAATCAAATTTAAAATATCAAACACGTTGTATTAGATGTTTTCCAAATAAACAAGGATATGTTCTTAGTTCAATTGAAGGTTGATTTTCTATCTTATATTTAATGTTTTAACTTGAAATTTTCTATTGAAACTTATATAGGTCGAGTTGCTGTAGAATTTTTCGATTCAAATCCTGATATTCAAAAGAAAAAATATGCATTTAAATGTCATCGTTCAAAAGATGGTGGAATAGAAAATATTTTTCCTGTTAACGCTATTGCTTTTCATAAACAACATGGAACATTTGCAACTGGTGGTTCCGATGCATTTGTTAATATGTGGGATGGTGCAAATAAAAAACGTTTATGTCAATTTCATCAGTAAGATATTTAACGTTTCTTTTTTCATATATAAGATAATGTGTTTTTTTTAGATATCCAGCTGGTATAACAAGTCTAGCTTTTTCATCGGAAGGAAATATGCTTGCAATAGCATCTTCATATAATTATGAATATGGTGCTGATACACAATTAGCACCCAATGATATAACAAAAAATAATATTTTTGTTAGACGTGTATCTGATTTAGAAACAAAACCTAAATGAAAATAAAAATTAGATAATTGTTTTTTTTCTGTCTTCTTGCTGTTGTTATTATTATTAGAAAAAAAAAGAATTGTGAATATATATCATTCTTTAGATGGTTGATGAAACGCTTTTCGATTATCTTCATATGGCTGTTGTTGAACATTATATAAATGACAACGAGAATAATATCGATTCATCATCTTTGTTTTTATCTCAAATAGGTAAAAAACAATAAATATTTATTTTGTATTTAACTGGTTATTTTTTCTATCTGTAGGTTACCGAGTGGGATATTCACTTAGTGAAAGATTATCAAAAGAAAGTCCACGTTATCGCGATGAATTAGATACAATTAAATATCTTTGCAAAGAACTTTGGATTTGTTTATTTAAAAAACAAGTTGATAATTTACGAACAAATCATCAAGGTGTTTATGTTATACATGATGGACGTTTCCGTTTATTACAACAAACATTATTAACAATGAACAAACCAATTGATGATACTAATCGATTACATCAATTGTATATAGCGTATTCAACTGGTTTAATACGAGGTATTTTAACAAATATGGGTTATCCATGTCGCGTTACTGCTGAGATCGCAGAGTTTGGTGTGAAATTTCAAATCGAAATGAATTCAACAGTTGGATAAATATGGAATACGATGCTTTCTTTTTTTGCTTCTTATAATTATATTGTTTTTTTTCTTAATTAAATCATGGATAGTTAAAAAATTTGATTACCGATTAAGTGAACATAAATATATTTAAATAACTTATTTCTAAATGAAACTCGATGCGTATCAGTCATACCTTTCACTATATGCAGAATACACTTTGGAATTAAGAAAATAAGATAGTGTCATCTATCGAAGATAAATTTCATATATATTATTAAACTATAAATATAAATCGGTTTTAATTAAGTTGAATATTTATATACAAAAACTATCTTAATTAATACAATGTTTATTATAAAATCATATTGAACTCGTCGAAGTTGAACTTTTCTTTCTCATCACATTTTGATCAAATTTATATAAGTATCTTTCTTAGGCTTTAATCGCTATAAAAATTCTTCGATATAATTCTAATGACGTCATCAATCAATAACAATCGTTGTAAATTATTAGTACTTGATCTTGATGTTAAACAAATAAATATGGATATTTTACGTACATTTTTCTCATTATATGGTGTAATTGAATGGATTCAAATATTTCCAGAATTTAATTCAGCTATTATTTACTTTGTTAATTATCTTATTGCTGATCATCTTATTAATTATCGTACTTGTTTAATTGGTCAAAATAATGTTCGATTACGTCGTTTTCGATTAGATCAAACTAACTGGAATACTGATTCTCATACTTTATATGTTAAATTAAACTTCGATTGTATATTAACTGAAGAAGCTTTACGCTATTGTTTTCGAGATTATCAACCTCATATTAATAAATTAGATTTACTTCATGATAATCAAGCTTTGATTTCTTTTACAAATTATGATTATGTTGATCAAATTCTTCTTATGCCTTCGAATGCATTTATAATTAATAATGTACCACTTGTTTTTGAACGAATGATAGAAAAAATAAATAAAAAATCTCGTTGGGATCAAGGACCAAGTCCATTACCGACAGGACCAGTTTTACCTGCTCGTGATCCAGTTATTCATAAATTAATTAGTCATATTGAATATTTAGCCAAACAACTTCGAGGTAGGAAAATATCTATTTATAAATTATTTAAAAACTATAAAAATTTATTTTTTTTAGAACAACCAAATCATTCTCGAAATGAAATTGAACGTCTTCAAGCTGAAGTATTTATTTTAAAAAATGAAAATGCAAGACTTAAATCAAAACAAGATTTATCTGCAAATAAAAATCTTGAAAAACGTCTTACAGTATTAGAAGATGTATCAAATCGTCGTAGTACCAAAGACTATCATCATATTCGACGAGAACGCAGTAGTAGTAATGAAAAACCAACGAAACGTCGACGAAAATACAAACTTGATGATGATTAGACAGATACATCTTAGTTTCAATAGTAAACTATTCTTATTTTCTTTTTATCTAATATGTACATTAATTAAAAAAAACATTTATTTACTTCTTTCCTTTTTGTGATTGAACTATTGTATTTGATATTAAATTATATTAGTTTGTTTTTTATATATTTAAATGTTAATATGAAATGTTGAACATAATAAATTTATTGTTTATTATGAATTTAAAAATAGATCAGTATTTTTTCTAACTAAAGGCTCTTGAGTAAAACGTACGTTGTTTTATAAAATTACATCGTAGTATACATCTGACTAATTTTGTCATGCATGATTGGTTACGTTAGTTTAAAAGAGTAATAGATGACGTCCATACCATGATAAAAACACCTACGATCGTCGTACCTAATAAATCATGATTACTAATAAAATCCTTTTCAAAGACCGGTTTCTATATCATAACAACAAAAACT